CAACAACAACAACAGTGTAAATTTATGATTTGCAGAATCCATGTTAATTGCTACTTTCTCTGGAGTGGATTCAACAATTCCCTTCCTCCACTGGAAAAAAAATCCTTCTAATTTTTTGAAAGAGATGCTTTCCATAAAACAAAGACTTCTTTGTCAAAGAATGGCACTTCTTGTCAGAGGAAGTCTCCCCTTTTCTGTGTCCCCGTCTCTCTGCAAAACCAATGGTAGCTTTGGTGCTTCACATGAGCAATCCAAGGCAAGCATTTCCTTTGATGTAGGATATTCCGTCAATAAGCAAGATGGTCTTTTTGCCTAGCAAATTCAAATCTAACTTCATTTCAGCTTTATTATCACAACAGTTCAAAGGGAATGCGGTGCAGTTTCTTCATCTTCGCTTGCTGGAATTCATCAAACAATAACAGCTTTAATGTCTTGAAACCACTGCAAGGAACCTAGCGTCCCTCTCCATTTGCACAGATGAAGAATTATGCCAGCTTCTGCTCAGCAAGGGATGGCAGCATTAAAGGCACTGCATGGGGAATTTTCCCACTCCACATCGTTCAAATCCTTCTCAAAGCTTTTACCGCTGTAGAGGTAGCAGGCACCAACCTCTCCACCACAGGACTTCCATAGCATTAGCCAGGACAGATAGGATTCTGCAAAGACAGAAGGCAAAGAAATTGTACATCTCTAATGATGCATAAAACCAAACCCAATTGGCTGCCTTTTCTTCCTCATCTAATACGGCTGGTATAATGCCACTCATTGACCTCTTCCCCCACTGCTGGAAACCAAATCTTATGAGGAATAACTTAAGGAGTTAATTATGTTTACCTTGGAAAAGAGGAGATGGAAAGGTGGTATGATGGCCATCATTCAGCACTGAAGTGATATCGCGTGAAATGACCTTATTTTCAACTAGGAGCCCCCAGTGGTGCAGTGGGTTAAACCGCTGAGCTGCTGAACTTGTTGACCAAAAGGTCACAGGTTCAAATCTGGGGAGCGGTGTGAGCTCCTGCTGTTAGCCCCAGCTTCTGCCAACCTAGCAGTTCAAAAACATGCAAATGTGAGTAGATCAATAGGGAGAAGGTGTTTAAATAGTATATCTTTCTTTATGTGAGTGAATGTATAGGTGTGTGGGTGTATGTATGCATATGTTTATGTGTATATGTGGGTGTAGACATGTATATATATGCATGTGTATATATCTGTGTGTATATATATATATATATATATATATATATATATATATATATATATATAGTTTGGTTTTTTGTTCTATGTTCTTCTCTTCCTTTTATTGTCTTTTTTTTCCTTCACGCTCTTTTCTTTCTTCTTGTTATTCTTTTTCTGATTTATGACTTATAAACTAGACAGGTGATTTTATCGTCTATTTGTATACTTGAAAACTTAATAAAAATATTTTTTTAAAAAATAGGGAGAAGGTAATGCCACTCCATGCTGTCATGCTGGCCACATGACCTTGGAGGTGTCTATGGACAACGCCGGCTCTTCAGCTTAGAAATGGAGATGAGCACCAACCCAAAGAGTCAGACATGACTTGACTTAATGTCAAGGGGAAACCTTTACCTTTACCTGATCTTATTTTCTGCTATTCCCAAAGACCAGGATAGAAACAGTTGGATTCAAATTATGAGAAAGTTCACCAAAATAGAAGAACTTCTTGAGGGTTCAACAGTTAAATGCACTGATTCAGAGGATGGTGGACTCTCCTTCATCAGAGGTGTCAAAACAGAAGTTGGATGGACAATGGTATCATTAGGGTTGGTGTCACCTTAGTGCATTAACTTTTGGTGTCACCCTCAGGCAGGCAACCACCATGTAGCTCTGGTGAATAAGAGTTCTCATCAGAGGGAGAAATCCAGTCTTGTTTGCTTTTCCTGGAGCAATAGAAAGCCCAGACTGGGGATCCTCCAGACCTGCAGAAGTGAGGTAGTGAGGAAAGTGAAAGAAGAGGAAGATGGCCCTGCTGTCCTTTCCCACAGGTAGCGCCAAGTGCTGCACCTGCCTTCCATTCTTGCATGCCTTGTCACCTCCCCATCTTGTCCCCATCTTGTCCCACTGTCCCTGGCACAGTGCTTGTTTTCCTTCCTTCTTGCAGTCCTGCCCTGTGCTCCCTTTTCCCCAACTGCCACAGCCTTGCTTTATTGCCTGACCAGAAGCCTTGCCAGACCCAGAGGGAGACACTAAGAAGCAGTGGCACCCAACTTTACCCTTTGCTGGGCTGCAGCAGATCAATGGTCAGTGGAAGGGGCAGCTAGGGGTCTTGATACAGATGGTGAGTAGGCTTGTGCATTCCGGGTAAACCTGTTTCAGTGTCCCGGATTTCTTTGGAGGGCCCGATCCATTTTTGGGAGCCTCCCGAATTCAAGAGGGCAGATATCTGTTTTTGCTCTGGGGTACCAAAAGATTAGTTTTTAATCTGGCCCATTATGGGGTGGGGGGAGGCTTCCCAGGCTTCCCTTCCTGTCATTTTAGGCATTTAAGCTGGTTCTACTCTAGAGGAGAGGCACTACAGGCAGGTGTGCATGCTTTCTCTTCCGGGCCTGCACCATGCCACATACTCTTTCCATGGCATTTAAAGAGGGCTTCTTAAAGTTATTTATACTCTAGAGGAGAGGTGTTGAAGGCAGGTTTGCACATTTTAAGGAGGCTTCTTATCTGTTTCTACTCTAGAGAAGATGTGTTGCAAGCAAGTTTGTATGCTTTCACTCCCTGGCCTGGACCACGTTCAAACTACAAGAGAGGAGATTCCATCTGAACATGAGGAAGAACTTCCTGACTGCGAGAGCTGTTCAGCAGTGGAACTCTCTGCCCCGGAGTGTGGTGGAGGCTCCTTCTTTGGAAGCTTTTAAACAGAGGCTGGATGGCCATCTGTCGGTGTTTGAATGCAATATTCCTGCTTCTTGGCAGAATGGGGTTGGACTGGATGGCCCATGAGGTCTCTTCCAACTCTTTGATTCTATGATTCTATGCACTCCAAGGTATTTTAAGGAGGTTTCTTGAAGCTATAAGCAGACGCACCTGCTTTAAGAAGGCTTTGAATCTGTTTCTGCTGTAGAGGAGAAGTGCCTCAGGCAGACACACATGCTTTAAGGAGGCTTCTTACCTGTTTCTACTCTAGAGGAGAGGCGCTGCAAGCAGGTGTGCATGCCTTAAGGGTCTGTAAAGCTGTTTCTACTCTATAGGAGAGGTGCTGCAGGTAGGTGTGTATGCTTTCTCTCCTGGACCTGCACTACACCACACAGTCTTTCCAAGGCTACTTAAGGAGGCTTCCTCACTTTCAGGTGAAGAAGCGCTATGACCTCCTGGAGCTACCCTCCCTGGGCTTCCTTTAAAAACCCCTCTTTTTTCCCTGGCACACTTCAATCTTCTTTCTGCTTTGGGTTTAATGCTTCCTTGCAGCTGTTTCTACTCTTTACTCTAGAGGAGAGTTAACTGGTAGTAGTTTTCAGAAAATTAGGGTTTTCTCTCTCTTTTTTGCTGGAATTAATAAAAAAAGATTAAACTGTGATGCCGGAAATAAGAGGAGGAGCCAAAATCGGCTGCCAGGTGGTCCTGTTACGGAAGGGACTCCATAATGGCTGGGCCCTTGCCGTTTGATGCATCCAAACAAATGAAAGAAACCGATTGGCCAAAGGAAACAACTAAAAACAGATCTGTGCACAACTCTAATAGTGTCAGCAATGCAGTACATATCCACTGCATCTACCCACTGTGGATGAGCCTCTTTAAATCTTTTAAAAAAATAATATTATTATTTAATTCTTTTTCAAATTTTGTAAATGAATGTTTCAGCTCTATCTTTCTTTAATTATTGTAAGCCACTTTGAATCCCATCTTGGGAAAATGATGAAATACAAATTAAATCAATCAATCAATCAATCAATATAGAATACAGTCTGCTCTGCACCATTGCAAATCTTAGGGACATATCACCCCTGCCAAAGTGGAAAGCCACTTATGTGATGTTAGCGGCCTTGAATCCACATACCAGAAGAAAGGCAGGATAAAAATAAAGCAAATACATATATAAACCCTTGAATAGTCCTAGGCCACCCAAACCTTAATTCTAAATATTGTTGACCATACCTAACATACACAAAAATACAGTACATGTATTTTATGCCTGATGGGTCTATGGACCATAATAAAATTGTTGTTGTTGTTGTTGTTTGCATTTTATGCATTTATGACTTACTAGCTGTCCCCTGCCATGCGTTGCTGTGGACCAGTCAGTGTATATGTGTTTTGTGTGTGTATATGTGTGTGTATATATTTGTGTGTGTATATATATATGTGTGGTTTTGCACATGCGTTGTAAGGTCATTTTTATTTTTTGGCTTTTTAAGTCCCTTCTGCTGTGTTTTTCAGTGTTTTTGTGAGTAAAGGTCACTCGTTCACCTGATAGGTGTGTTGCATCCAAATTTGGTGTCAATTCGTCCAGTGATTTTTGAGTTATGTTAATTCCACAAACAATCATTACATTTTTATTTATATAGACTAGCCGTCCCCTGCCATGCATTGCTGTGGTCCAGTCTGTGTATATGTGTTTTGTGGGTGTATATGTGTCTGCATATATTTGTGTATATGTGTTTGCATATATATATGTGTGTGTGTGTGTGTGTGTGGTTTTGCACATTAGTTGTAATGTAATTTTTATTTTTTGGCTTTTTAAATCCCTTCCACTGTGTTTATCAGTGTTTTTATGACTGATGGTCATGTGTTGGCCTGATAGGTGTATTGTGTCCAAATTTGGTGTCAATTTACTCAGTGGTTTTTGAGTTATGTTAAGCCCACAAACAATCATTACATTTTTATTTATATAGATTAAACTTTTTTTAGTTTTATTTACACTTTATTTACATTATTTACAAATGAAATTTTCCACAATAATCTGAAAACTTAAAAAAAATCATTGAATTATTGAGGGCAAACTTGTGAATAATCAAATTTATGAAAATTAAACCTGTAAAAGTTGAGGTTCTGCTGTAGATGAAACATAGCTGAAGGTGGGAATAAAATATTGTCGTAGGGCAGTGAATAGGCAGAAAAGGGTCTGGAACAACAGAAATGTCCTTTGGATACATACAGATTGAAAATTAGAATTGCAGTAACAAATACAGTGACATTTTTGCCCAATCTGGAAGTGCCATGTGTTAGTTGCGATGTTTTTAGCCCGGGTTGTCCCAGCTGAGAGTCTGCCTGAAGGCCTTTGTGCACCTTCTTCTTCCATGGAGATGGTCCACTTTCCTTCCATTGCTTTGCTGCAGCCTTGCTTTGGCTCCCTTGCAGGTGCCTCGTTCGCAGTCAATAACTCCTCAGCATCATCCAGTGTCAGGCTGCATATTGAATGTGACAATTCTTCATCTTAAGTGTCATCGCTTCAGAGGCTGGCAGGCTTCAGTTCATCACCGCTCGCAAGATGTACGGTGACTCAGTGAGAAAATACTGGCCTTTTGACATTGCCTGGTCCATTTCTCTTTGCTTTGTCTCTGCTGCAATTTCTGCTTTCTCATTCTACCCGTTAAGGGTTTCTCTCTCTCTTTTTGGAAAAAAATATTTTTCCAGGAGTCTGATCCCATGGTTACCTGCATAAGAAAGGAAGATATCATTTTAGTGTTGTTATACACAAGTATTTTGTCACTAAAGTAACTGACTCCAATCATAACAAAACTATGTGAGTAAGGTTTTCTATCAGGGTGTGCAAAGTGCAGTTTTGTAGCCAGCCAGGTGAAGAAGTGGTTTGACCATTGGACTAGGACTTTAATCTCCACTAATCATAGGATTTGCAGTTTGGTGAAGGTCCAGCATTAGTTGACAGAGAAGGCTAATGGACCTGTAAAACTTCGACTTTTATTAGTCTACTAGCCGTCCCCTGCCACGCATTGCTGTGGCCCGCATGGGGGTTCTGTGTGGGAGGTTTGGCCCAATTGTATCGTTGGTGGGGTTCAGAATGCTCTGTAATTGTAGGTGAACTATAAATCCTAGCAACTACAACTCCCAAATGTCAAGATTCTATTTTCCACAAACTCCACCAGTGTTCACATTTGGGCACATTGAGTAGTGTAGAGTTTGGTCCAGATCCATCATTGTTTGTGTCCAAAGTGATCTCTGGATGTAGGTGAACTACAACTCCAAAACCAAAGGACACTGCTCACCAAGCCCTTCCAGTATTTTCTGTTGGTCATGAGAGAACTGTGTGCCAAGTTGGGTTCAATTCCATCGTTGGTGGGATTCAGAATGCTCTTTTATTGTAGGTGAACTAAAAATCCCAGCAACTACAACTCCCAAATGACGACATCGATTTTTTTGAGTGAAGGACATACATTGGGTTGTTAGGTGTCTTGTGTCCAAATTTGATGTCAATTCGTCCAGTGGTTTTTGAGTTCTGCTAATCCCACAAACGAACATCACATTTTCATTTATATAAGACTAGCTGTACCTGCAATGCATTGCTGTGGGCAACTTTCCCTCCCTCTTTCTCTCCTTCTTTTTTAATTTCTTTCTTCCCCCCCCCTTCTATCCTTCCTTCCTTCCCTTTTTCTCTCCTTCCTTCCTTCTCTACCTCTTCCCTTCCTTCCCCTCATTTTTTCTTTCCCTTCCTCTTTCTCCTCTTTCTTCCTTCTCTACCTATTCTTGGACTGCAACTCCCAGCAGTCCTCTGATCAATCTACCTACCTATCTATCTCTATATAATCTATCTTATCTGGAGGGTTTCTGGGAGAGGCAGTCCAGGAATAGGAAATTGGAAATATGCAGGGATTTGGGATGCTCTCAACAAAAATCCAAAGAGAAGAAAGTGGCTTGGAAAAAGTGCCTTTGGAACATCTTCCTCCCCAAAGGGCCTGGTCTAGGGGATGCTGAGAACTCTGGTCCAGAAGAGAGTGTGAATATAATAATAATAATAATAATAATAATAATAATAATAATAATAATAATTTTATTTATGCCCTGCCACCATCTCCCCAAGGGACTCGGAGCGGCTTACATGAGGCCAAGCCCAACAACACATGTGCTATTGTGTGTTTTGTTTGCCAAGGGGAGTTGTTTTTGCACGTGCGCTGTAGCATCTGTTTGCTTTTTTGGCTTTTTAAGTCCCTTCTGCTGTGTTTTTCAGTGCTTTTATGAGTGATGGTCACTCGATGGCCTGATAGGTGTCTTGTGTCCAAATTTGGTGTCAATTCATCCAGTGGTTTTTGAGTTATGTCAGTCCCACAAACGGACATTAGATTTTTATTTATATAGATAGCATTGAACCATGGCAGTTAATGTGGTGCCAAACTGCATTATTTTTACAGTGTAGATATACATTCTCATCCATAGAAGTCATTAGGTGATAATAAATAAACAAATAAGTAAATAAATAATAAAGCTTTACTTGTACCCCGCCACCATCTCAGGCCGGCTCACAGAAAGTACTCAGTAATGCAACAATATACAGATACAACAGAATACAGAAAGGTAAATATTAATAACAATAAAACAGATCTAATTATACTTTAAACACCAATAAAACCCCTATTAATTTAAAATATACTATAAAACTCAGCAAGCTACAAAATAGTAACTGTATACAATAGCAGTCCCCATAAAGTGCAGAAGTGAAGCAAATCACCTCAAACATAGTGATTAAGGTAATAATCACTAAACATGGTCAAAAGCTTGTTTAAAAAGCCATGTTTTCAGGCGTTTGCGGAAAACTTGTAGAGTGGGGGCTACACTAATCTCTCTAGGGAGGGAATTCCAAGGCCAGGGAGACACCATCGAGAAGACCCTCTCTCTCATCCCCACCAACCGCATGTGAGACAGAGGTGGGATTGAGAGGAGGGCCTCCTCAGCAGATCTTAGGCCTATTCCGGTTCATAGAAGGAGATGCAGTCTCGAAGATAGGTTGGAGCCAAACTGTATAGGGCTTTGTAGGTAATAATTTGCACTGTAAATTGGGCTCAGTAACCCATCGGCAGCCAGTGGAGCTGCTTTAATAGGGGAATGGTATGCTTCCTATAACCAGCCCCACCAGTTAGTAATCTGGCTGCCGACCTTTGCACTAACTACAGTTTTCAAGCCATCTTCAAAGGCAGCCCCATGTAGAGTGCATTGCAGTTGTCTGGGACTGTGGCTGGGAGTCAGCTGCATTAGATCACTACTGACCAAAAGGTCATGGTCGGAGTGAACTTCCAATCATTGTGTAGCTCACTGTTGACCTTTGCACCCCGAAAGACAGTTGCATCTGGCAAGTAGGAAATTGAGGTATTGCTTTTGCAGGGAGGCTAATTTAACTAATTCATGACACCATAAAAAATCTCCAGCAAGCATGCAGAAGAATGAGGAAGTACTCCATCAGTGTTACAAATGGACGGTGAAGCAACATCTCCCCTGATGGCCAGAATATCCTCATGAAGCTGGAATGTTAAATAGCCTCTATGTGTCTGTCTATATATGTTGTGTGTCTATGGCATTGAATGTTTGCTACGTATATATACATTGTAATCTGCCCTGGGTCCCCTGTGGGGTGAGAAGAGTGGAATATAAATACTGTAAATAAATAAATACATAAATCTAAATAATAGTCCATTCTAGAAGTGACTAAGGTGTGGACCATCGTGACCAAGTCAGGCTTTTTGAGCTGGCACACAAGTTTTAATTGTGCAAAGGCCCTTCCAGCCACCGCTGACACCTGAGCTTCAAGCATCAGCGCTGAGTCCAGGAGGACCTCCAGGTTTCAGACCTGTGTCCTCAGGGAGAGTGTAACCCTGTCGAGCACAGGTTGCCACCCTATATCCTGGTTGGCCTCACGACTGACCAGGAGGACCTTTGTCTTGTCTGGATTAAGGCTAATTTTGTTGGCCCTCATCCAATCCATCACAGCTGCCAAGCACTGGTCCAGGAACTGGGGGGCTTCCTTGGAATGAGGTGGAAAAGAGAAGTAGAGTTGTGTATCATCTGCATAGAGATGACACACAACTCCAAAACTCCAGATGACCTTACCTAGCAGTTTCATGTAGATCTTAAATAGCACGGGGAATCTTGGGCAAGGTATATCCTCTCATCCTTAGAGAATAAAGAAGAGGTTCAATTTGAAAGTACATAAGAATAAAAAGTGTAAAAAATAAAAATGATGCCCATGGATGCCCACAATGGAGTTGGTGTATTTTACCATTTCTTGCTCAGTATGTGTAGTTTTGTGAGAGATTTAAAATTCTCAGCCATAAATTTGAGTACTTCACCAAATCCCAGAAATCTGTAGGATGTGATAACAAAGTGTCACAAAGTATATAATGTGAATGAGAACCAGTTCCTGGTTTTCTGTATTCCAGTTTGTTTGGCAAACATTGGCTTGTTAAAAGCTAACTAGCAAGAACCATTTCAATGAGAAATTGGAAGCGAGAGAGCACTGAAGTGGCTCACCATTGTTAACCTATGCCCTACCTAGGATCTAAATCAGTGTTGCTCAACCTTCCTAATGCCCCTTTAATACGGTTCCTCAGGTTGTGGTGACCCTCAACCATAACATTATTTCCGCTGCTACTTTATAACTGTAATTTTGCTACTGTTGTGAGTCACTGATATGCAGAATATGTTTTCATTCACTGGACCTAATTTGGCACAGATAGCTGATTGATTTTGTTATTTGGGAGTTGTAGTTGCTGGGATTTATAGTTCATCTCCAATAAAAGAGCATTCTGAACCCCACCAATGATGGAATTGAACCAAACTTGGCACACAGAACTCCCATGACTACCAGAAAATACTGGAAAAGGTTTGGTGGGCATTGACCTTGAGTTTTGGAGTTGTAGTTCATTTACATCCAGAAAACACTGTGAACTCAAACAATGATGGATCTGGACCAAACCAAAGATACTCAGTATGCCCAAGTGTGAACACTGGTGACGTTTGGGGAAAATAGACCTTGGAATTTGGAAGTTGTAGTTGCTGGGTTTTATCGTTCATCTTCAATCAAATAGCATTCTGAATCCCACCAACGATAGCATTGGGCCAAACTTCCCACACAGAATCCCCATGACCAACAGAAAATACGGTGTTTTCTGATGGTCTTTGGTGACCCCTCTGACACCTCCTTGTGATTCCCCCCCCCCCCCCGGATACCAACCCCCAGGTTGAGAAACACTGATCTAAATGTTTTTTCATATCAAGAACCTGAGTTGGAGAAGTTTAATCCCTTTCTAGAAAATGTGCACAATCGTGGCAATAAATAATAATAATAATAATAATAATAATAATAATAATAATAATAATAATAATATAGATCACATTCTCAGCTGCTGCAAGAAGATCACGCAGACAGACTACAACCAGAGGCATAACACCATTGCTCAGATGATTCATTGGAACTTGTGCCACAAATACCATCTGCCGGCAACAAAGAACTGGTGGGATCACAAGCTGGAAAGAGTTACAGAGAATGAACATGCCAAACTCCTCTGGGACTTCCGGATTCAGACAGACAGAGGTCTGGAGCACAGCACTCCTGACCTCACAATCATGTTAAAAAACAAAGCACGGATCATCGATGTACTGCAGAGAAACAACAGGAAAGCTGACACAATATGAAGATTTAATAATTGAA